TATATATATATATATGTATATATATATAAATATATTTAATTTTTCCAATTAATTATTACAATTTTCATGGTATACTTTGTAACAGAGATACAGAATTAAATCGATAACATGGATTATATATAAACAGTGATTACAAACGGCCTTCCTAGCAAAATATTAGTCGTACAGGACGAACGATGTTGACAAAAAATAAACACGAAAGTATCTCTATTATATCATTATTATATAATACGGTGTATTTAAAAATTCTTTCGGTGACCTTATAAAACATAATAATTTTATAAAATAAAATATATTTTGCAATATATTTAAAAATGATACGTCAATTAAAAATCGAAAATCTATATACGAATTTTTATATGACAAAATCGTATCTGCATATACGATTTATTAAAAACTACCCAATATTTTATATATATATATAAAAAAAAAAAAAAAGTACCGATAAACGAAAACCACGATAATATAGGAAGATTTTCGTTATGCTCGATAATAAATGTTATTACGTTCTAATTAAAAGATACCTCGATGGTAATTCAGGAGTGGACGGAAAGAAAAAGAATAATCTGATTTCAATATTGTAGTAAGGGGGTAAAAAAAGAGAACAAAAACAAAAACAAAACAAAAACTAATGATTCGGTGCGAGCTTACCTACTGCAACGTTCGCGAAACGATCAATTCTTACTCGACCGTTTACGATGCACCCGCGTGAACACATTTACCTGCCGACAGGTTGATGACTGCCGTCTAACAGGTCGATACCAACTCGGAACTGCAATGCAGACACACCACCAACTAACTTGAAGGACTCAGCGAAAAAAGGTTCGTGCCTTTTCCATTATTCTTTTTGCGTTAGTAAAAAAAAAAACAAAAAAAAAAGAGGGGGAAGAAAGAAAAAAGAGGAAAGAAAAAACCAGGATGACATCATTTGAAAAAAAAAAAAGGAGGGAAAGGAAAAAGGAAGGAAAGGTCAAAATTGATAAGGAGGGCGCATTTTTTTTTTCGTAATGGAGATTAACTCATAGGAAAAAAAGTTTTGTTGTCATTTTTTATACGAGGTGAGATAGCAAAAAGATATCTGAAAAAATAATGGAATAAAATGAAAAAATAATTCCCTCATAACGTTTCCGATATGCGCTCGCTCTCTCTCTCTCTCTCTCTCTCTCTCTCTCTCTCTCACTCTCTGTCTCTTTCTCTCTATCAGATAAAGTACATTTAAATGGATTCACCTTCTGCTGCACGCCTGCTGACGACAGGCACATCGCACTAACGCACGATGATATTACAGTATCAACTTTTTAGCTAACCTACGGCCAAATTGTAGGATCGCCCCTATCGAATATTTTGTCGTGACCTCCGGGATATAGGTAACTATAGTTGAATGTTTAATCAATGACCGTAGTGCAGTATTTAATCAAGGACCAATACAGTATAACCGCATCGACAACATCGGCAAACTTACAGAATAGGTATAACTTCTGTACGTAGCATATACTTTTTTTTCTTCTCTATTCTTTTATTTTCTCTTCTTTTTTTTCTTTTTTTTTCTCTCTTTTTTGTTTTTCTTTTGTCTTTTCAACGTAGCACTTTATAACAATCTTAACGCTGGACAATCTAACGTACGGGTGATAAAACGAACCATACTTTAGAAAAATAATACGATATACTAACTTGACAGCAATATCGTGAATAAATAGCAAAGAGATATGCATATTTGACTTAATATTTTTTTTTCATGCGATCAACAAGTGAAACACGTTCGTTGATAATAACGATAAACTCTGATGAATCTCACTATATATAAATATACATACATACATACATACATATATACATACATATATATATATATATATATATATATATATATATATATATATATGAAAAGAGAGTTACAAATCATCGAACACTCCTTGTCGCCGCTTGAATTCTTATTATAGATCAATCAATGATAAAGGCTAGCGTGCAACAATACCTACAATCGTTATGCAAATTTTTGAAATATACTTGCATGTCTCTGCGGCAATGAGAATCGTCCGAACTGCCCTAGAGTCTTCGTGAGAATGAGAATTTATTATTGAGATTCGAAACGTACACATAGGAATACAAAGAGGGAGAGAGAGAGAGATAGTAAAAGATAAAAGAAAGAAAAACAACAATTACTAAACACCAATGCTCATTCAAGTGTCCTTTACGAAACAAAATCATTAGTACATACGTACGTACATATCTATTATTATAAATACCATGAAATATCAACATTTTAAATCACTTAACCGACTTATGTCCTCGTATTTTTTATTATTATCATTTGAAATGATCGCACTGAGCTGTAATATAAAAGCCAAGAAATCTCAACGATACTATTTTCGGCACATGTTTAATGCACGATAGTAAGATATAATAGATGGGCAGATATACGTGCCGATAAGTATCATACATATATATTGTATATGTATGTATATCATGTATGTATATTATGTATGTATCTCTAATGGCATAGAGGAATAAAGAACTAGAGCGATTTTCAACGACAGATCTCTAACCTCCTTTATTTCACGATCTATCCAAACATAATCGACGTGAATAAAAATAATAAAAAAGTATTAAGAAAATATAAATCTATCTTATTCGTTTATTATATCATTCATCTTGATCGCTCTAACTTTGTATTTTTCTTTTTTACTGCGTGACCCATATCATTCGGATATCATGCACGCACGAACGCACGCACGCTCATGGGAACGCTACGTAGAACTTCTACCTGAACGATTCGCGATAAATTCATAAAACTTTTTGTTCCATGACATGTAAAGAAAAAAAGAGAAAAAAAGAAAGAAAGAAAAAAAAATAGGAAGAGGAAGGAAAAAATTAAACAATTAAAATAAAAAAAGAAAAAAAAAGAAAAAAAGAAAAGATCTCCCACGAAACGATAATAATAATCTTGACGATCTTTCGAACGTTCAAAGGACCAAACGATATATAAAGAAAAATTTCATAGTTCCTCTTTCTAAAAGAATTATTTACTCGACGAATCGAATTAACGACTCCTCCAGTTTGACTCCTTCATCTACGGTAGGACTACTAAGTCAAGTATCTTAGTCTCTCAACAACTACTTGGCCGTATTCTATTTTTATCTGATATGCAATAAAGCGAGAACGATTAAACGCAGAAAGAGTAGAACAACGCTAGATAATAGAATATCTGGTATTTATCTCAAAAAGAAATAATCTTTCCTCCTTACTTTTTCACAAAGTTTGAAAGGCCTTCTTTATAAATTTTATTTTACGAGGAGAAAATTTCTCGAAAGAAGAGAAAAGAAAAAAAGAGAAAAAGAGAGAGAGAGAGAGAGAAAAAAAAATAAAGAAAAAAAATCGTATTTATAGATCGGCGAACAGGAGAAGGTAAAAAGTTTCTTCTACGTTTTCTAGATCAAAAGGCATCGATGAATATCCACTATTTTTCTCATTGTCTTCGTCTTGATTTTCTCACGTCGTCGATCATTTTTCCTATCCCTTTCCATCACTGCCTCCAGCCCCCAACCTACCCCCCCTCCCCGCCCTCACCCCTTACTCATCGATAAACTTCATTCTCTTTATATAGAAAGACCGCAAGGAGGTACTCGAAGCAAGTGACTCTCTCCCTTCTCATAAAGACGAAAACGAGAAGAATGATCGAGTTACGTTTAAAGGGGACGATTCGATTCGAGAACTATCGTCTGTCGAGTTGTTTTTTTGTAAACTCATCTCATAACACTTTCTCTATCTCTTTCTTCGTCTATCCGTCTATCCATCGGATATGTCTATCCTTTTCCATCTTACATTTTCATTCCGCGATTATGTTCGAAGTAACGATTTTATCCATTCGTTCGTAAAATAGAATTTGGCTCAGATCGATACAGAAAGGAAAATAGGTCTGTTCGTAAAAACACGTGGTACCGATCGATAGAGAAGAATTTGATGCTAAAAAAGTCTCGAGAGATAGATAGACAGAGACAGAGACAGAAAGAGAGAGAGAGAGAGAGAGAGAGAGAGAGAGAGAGAGAGAGAGAGAGAGAGAGAGAGAGAGAGAGAGAGAGAGAGAGAGAGAGAAAGAGAGAGATAAGCAGAGAGAAACGAGATCGTATCTTTGAAGTATTACTTTGACTTCTCGTCACGAAAAAGAAAAAAAAGAAAAAAAAAAAGAAGAAAGGAAATGAAAAAGCCGATCATAATTAATTTTGCAAGATTCCAAATATACCCTTTCTTCTCTATATAACGAACTCTAAGAATTGATTTCGATACTCGTAGATATCCGATAAAACATTGTACAAATATTCTTTATCTGCGTTTAGAATATATCAATGTGTATTTTATAATACTTAACGAGATCACGTATACGTAAGGAATACAATAACATCTGATATTTCTTATCGATCGTTTTTCATCTCTAAGCACGTAATAAATATTATGTGCATACATAAGCTTCGTTAAAAATTTTCGTTTCTAAGCGATAAACAAATGTAAATAATAATAATAATAATTGGGTAGAATACGCATAATCCTATCGAAAATTCATAATATTAATAATACTCGTTGGATCTTCGATAATGTCATTATAATTTGGATTTAAATATTGTAACGTAATGCTACTTGTATCATGAAATTCGACAGTTTAATAAGGATTTAACAATCAACTACCATGAAGAAAAAGCTTATGTATATCGTTCCGTACGATGAGATTTACCTTGCCAAACAAACGAGATAATATACATATATCTTACGAAAACATATTCTTAATGAAACTCGTTCTGCATACATGATATCTACGGCTTTACGTAAGTCTTCGTTAAAGGCTCATCTAACATTTTTCATCTATTTATAATAGAATGATCTCGCTTTCATCATACGCTGACGCGTATTCGATAACAATAGAAAAAGAAGAAAAACAGCCAGACAGATAGACAGACAAACAGACAGACAAACAGAGAGAGAGAGAGAGAGAGAGAGAGAATCTTTCACAAGTGAAACGTTATTGAAGTTATCCGAAGCGCGAACATAATTGACGAACGTAATTTTAGACTATCCACAGATGATCTCGTGTCTTGGAATAGAACGAAGTACTTACATCTACTACTACGCGTTTTCACCATGGCAAAATCAGGTAGGGTATTATAACTGCGGAAGTACATACCTGGCCCCGATTCACAATGCAGCTCTCTTTTATCGGTGCTAGTAGCATTTTTATCGTTGACATATTTCCCTGCCACCCTAATATCTATAGAAGAGAGAAACTTGCAAAGCATCGATCGTAACGCCTCGGTTGTACTCACTCAACCCTCGCCCCCCTCCCTCCACCTCTTCTCGGCATTCCCACCTCTGCCATTCGACAATTTCTTGCGCACTTTAACCATATTTTCGTACCTCCAAAACTAAAATAATATACAAGAAAATATAGTAAAATTATAACAAGGTTATCGCGTTGACGTTTATAAACGTTCAACATCACGGCTGATGACTGACTCGATTTTACGAACTTTTGTGTAAAAATATTTATGAAACTAACTTGTTGGTCAACGTTTAAAATTATTATAGAAATTAAGTGAATACGTAATGAAACGTTGAAAATTACGAAGGTAACTTAACGTACGATATAATTTAAAATTTATTTACCTTTTGTGTATATGTACTCGTATATATATATATATACATATTTGTGAAAAAAATGTTATACTTTCTTCGTTCGATATGTTAAGTCGATCGGACATTACACGAATGCACGATTAATTTTAGAAGAAACCTACCATATGAAAGGTCTCTTTCTCCCTCTTCCTCCCCGCCCCTTTCTCTCTCTCTCTCTCTCTCTCTCTCATTCTAAAACGTTTCGTGCAACGAAGAAGAAAACGGAAGTTAAGGATAGACATGCTCGTGAATGATAATGAAACATGGCACGAGCATCCTGATATCAAAAGGTATAGACAACTTTTGGCATATAAAAGGAATCTAACGAACATAAAACAGCTTTTGTAATTACATTTAGAAATACCTTTAAAATAATAACTATTGTTACGATAACACGTTAAGAGGTTCTTTCAAATCTAGTAACATCCAACCAACGGTCTAATGATGAACTTAAAACTACTTTATGTAACTAAAAAAAAAAAAAAGAAAAAAAAAGACCACTATGAATATTGCTTACATTCTCGATAAGATACATACATTTTCACATTTTTATAAACATTGAAAGTTTCAAGAGAGAAAAAAAACCAAAAAAAAAGAGGGAGAAAAGAGAAAAAAAAAGAAAGAGGAAAAAAAGAGAAATGAGAAAAATAGACGAGAAAAAAAAGAAATTAAATTAAAAAAGAAAAGGAAAACAGAATAAGTAAAAACACGAGCTAAAAAGTACGTCGTCATTATTTATCATTAACGCGTCTGTAGCAGCAGCGTCCTACGGACTTAGAGACACTTAATTTCATTGAAATATAAGTAGTAGTAAAAAATGAAGAAGAAACTATTAGTAGAAAAGAAAAAAAGAAAAAAAAGAAAATTCAAGAATTCCATGAAAAATGTTAGGAGTTCGCGGTCTTTGATTTTCATCGAATATTTCTTGATACTACGACCCCGTATGAACTCTACGATAACTGTATTAACAAACGTAATTTCCTAAGCGTCATATCGCGAGATAACATTGAAATAACATTCGCTCGAAAAAGAGATCGTTATCGTTGGAACATTGAGCATGATAGCAGCGTGAACAAGTAACGCAATTATTAGTTTGAAATTAGACGTTGAAAAAAAGAAAAAAGAAAATAAAAGAGAAAAAATAGATCATTTTTGCGATAATATAGAATATAAATATATATATATATATAAATATATATACTCTTTACAGGATTCTCATAAACAGTTAACGAAGCATATTTTTACGCGTATTGCATGTTTCATCTTTCTTTATTTCTTTCTTTTTCCCTTTCATTATCAAATAACCCAAGAAATAGCTGCGGAAAAGCATAAATAAGTACAAGGGACGAGGCAAGCAGAAAGAAATAGTAAAAATTTTCTCTCCTTTTACTTTGACCTGAAGGGTTAAAAAATAATAATAAAAATAAACTAAGTAAATAAATAAATAAATAAGTAAATAAATAAAAATTAAGATATTTACGAGGTCCTTTCGTAATCCCTTTTATTATCGTTGGCAAAAGTGTCCTTCAAAATCCGAACGAAATATTTATAAAGGATCTTCTCTTCTTAACCTTCTTGTATCCCTTATATTAGTGCATTCGAGCGACAAATTATAAGCTTTGTCGAATATTCATAAATACCTTATATATATATATATATATATATATATATATATATATATACATATATATCTCTATGTAAGGTTATATTCCCTCGGAAACAAATAATAAAGAGAAAAAGTAAAAAAAAAGAAAAAAAAAAAAAAAAAAAAAAAAAAAGAAAGATGAAAGAAGAGGAAGAAAATGAGAAGCCGGAGAAAATCGCGATATCCTCTACTCGAAACGAACCAATCATCCCATAGTTACTTTTTTCAATGAAATTCGACAATCATTGAGAATGAGCTTAAATCTTTTTATTACATTTCCATTAATTTCCACGATCCAATCTTGTATGAACGAAAAGAAAATTTCTATCCAAATAGCATATTCAACAATTACAATTATTTTCTATTCAAAAACATAAAGTTCTGATTTTCGACCTACTCTCCGTTCCATTTTGTGTATATATATATATATATATATATATATATATATATATCCATATACTTATACATATATGTAAGTGGCATAATTTATTCGCAATTACACCGAAGAGAAACCAGGCTTTTATCTCGCTTTCAAAAAAGTCTCTGTTATATTTACGATAAGAAGCACGTAAAATGGATGAAGCTTCTACGCAGAAAATAGAAGTAATAGTGTTCTCGAAGAACAAGCCGGGCGACCGACCGACCAACCAACCAACCAACTAATCAACGAACTATGGCGCCCTACTGATCATGAGACGCCATACTCATGTGTCCCGAATACATTAAATATCATAATAATAAACTTTCATTTTTACTTACCTTCTACACTGAATAGGCGCAACGGGCCAGCTTCTTCTAGTTTTGAGAATGATGGCCGGTTGTTTGACATCACCAACGACCGGTGCTGATGTTCGTCCTTGATTCCTTTTACTCCAAAGATGACCGGATCCAACCGGACCGGATCCCGGAATACTCGGATGCGGACCGCTCTCGCTACACGCACGTCGCGAAAACATCTCGCGTTTTCTTTCGTCGCACTTCATTATAATACGTACCGATAGATTTTTTTTATTTTATTCTCTTTCTCTTCCTATCTCTCTCTCTCATTCTCTCTCTATTTTTCTTTCTTATTCTCTTTTCTCTATCGCTATCTCTCTTACTCCAATATGACTGACAACTTCGACAATATCTTCCACTTGAACCGATCCAAGTTTTTCAAGTTTCTTATCCGAAATAGGCCAACTCGAGATCAGCGTAATAATATATATATATATATATATATATATATATATATATCTAAATATATATATGTGTGTGTGTATGTGTAAGAGAAATCTAAAAGTATCGTTTATATGAAATATTGAAATTGGATTAAATAAGAAATAGAAATTTGTTACAAATTTAAATGCATCTGCGTGTAATTAGGTCGTATCCGATCGACATTTGTTACAGAAAGGAAAGCTATCATAATCGATAACTCGAATATCTCTCTTTTTCTACTGGTCCCAAGATATACATACGATTGTGGCGAACATTTTAAACCTGCTTGTCCACTGATTACATTGCGAGAAAAAGTATTACTTTTAGAGAATCTATTTAAGATAAGTTCGTAAAATATATCACGTTTTATTCCTTGAATGCAATAGGTAATAACGTTTCTCGAAACTTTAAAATGACTTTGACTTTTGTAATAATGTGCGACTACGTGTTAGCTTAACAAAGTGAAAAATAGTTATATGCATATATATATATATATATTTTTTTTTTTTGTAAAAATTCGAAAACGACTGAAAATAGAAAAAGAGAAAGAGAGGGAGATAAAAAAAATACGAGAATAAGTTCTTTGAGAATGATAAAGAGAAAGAAAATGAGATAGATCATTTATTATTTCTGGTCCACGATAATAGGCCGCCTGAGTTTTGAATTCGAAAGTGGCATCTCGTTTGATATTTTAGATGTCGTTCAGTAAAAAGTGAAAAATGTTCATCCCGTAAAACATAAGCTCTGTCAAGCTCGAGTTCTTAATAATATACTGTGTCACATTTCCAGGTATAACTTTCATTCTTTTTCGATACATCGGTTGCATCCTTTCATCATTCTTGCTGTTTCTCTGAAAACGAGTAATCATGTTTTTTCCTCTTCTTGTTTTTCTTTCTTCTTCTTCTTCTTTCTTCTTCTTTTTCAAATAGTATTGAGAGAGCGTATTCACATCAGCTGTCGCGACACGAAGAGGAAAGCTTTGAAACGATGCTTGTCTATCATCACGTTATGGAACCGCTATTATTATCTTTCCTTTTTTCTTTCGATCTTCTTTTTTTTTTCTTTTTTTACTTTTTTTCTTCCTTTTTCCCCTCCCCTGTGTAATATCATAACTTAGAAAGAGAAAATTACTCTTTCACACCAAATTCTCAGACTTCTTCTAACTTACTTCGGGACTAAGTTCTATTATGATAAAAGTTCAAGAACAATAGTCTTCTACATTATTAAAAGGATTTCATGAAGATAATAGACCTAACCAAACCATAAACCTTGCAGTGAGACTATGGAAATTGTAAACACAAATTCTCTCTCTCTCTCTCTCTCTCTCTCTCGGTCTCCGTTACGCTTATCGCTAAATACAGCCATGATACCAGTGGGACTTCTCAATTTGCGTTTGCCCTACCTTTAATACCAATGACTCCAGCGTTTCCACGAGAATGATGACAAATAAAGTGCACTGAGTGGAAATACGAAAGGCTGAATTTTTTGTTCCACTTTAGCCAGTGATTCCGATTAAAAATCATACTACGTTATTTCAATAGATGGAACATGCGATATTAAGTAATTCGAGGCTATATTAGAAAGAGAAAGAGAAAGAGAAAGAGAGAGAAAGAAACAAATAAGGTCAACCGCGAATAGACGAAGGATCGAAAATTAATCTCCGTTGGCGACGTTTACGTGCGATAAATTCAATGAAACGCATTTTACGGTGAGGAGCAGTAAAAAAAAAAAAAGGATACTTCGACTGGCAGCTCGTATCTATAGGCGAAGCTATTAAATTGTCAGAGACGTCGATAAGGCAACAAATTTTTCGTCGACTTACGTATCTAATACCTACTATCGCAAAACACTGACATATATATATATATATATATATATATATATATATATATATATATAGTACATGTATATGTGAATATATATAATGATTTACTCTGACATAATTGATCATTTAATTATATGATCATTATTGTTTAGTTATCCTGAAAAAAAAATACCTAAATTTATATATATAAAGAAAGAGCTAAAGAAAAACTTATTGAATTTTGTTTTCGTTTGCACGTATTTTGATGTTTTAGGAAATATTGAAAGAAACATATGATTTTACCTTGAAGCTTTCTCAAAGAAAGAACAAATTGGATTTCACGATAGAATGATAAAATTAGTTTAAGACAGAACGTATCAACAAGATAGAAGAATTTTTTTTTTATATGCTCTGATCCCTGGCAACGAAAGCGTATTTTCACTTTATCGTTTATTATTATTATTTTTTTTTTCTTTTTTTTTTTTTAATCGATATTTATACACTATTCCATAGTACTGGACAATTTTTAAAGGGATATATAAATTCGTAGGACAATAGAAATTCGTTCAATGATTTTACGAAATCATGATGAATCTTCATAAAAGTAAATATTATATTTTCGTGTATAATATATTTGTCTGTGATATCATTAATTTTTCACTTAACAATAGTATGAAAATCTTCGATTTATCAAAATTATATATATATATATATATATATATATATATATATATATTCACATACTTATATATGTATGTGACAATGACAAAGAAAGGAGAAATATGAAAAGACGAGAAAAGGGATCGAAATGATCGAGTTTCAATGATAAGAATATCAGTCAAAGAACTTGAGTATGAGTGTGAGTGTTAATGTAACGAAGAGGATCGAGAACTTTTAAATCCCGATTTGTTGCCAGGTGCTATGGTGAAAAATGAAGCGAAGAAAAGGCAAAAGTCACCGAGGTAATAGTAATACCTTTCCGAAGAATGTTCCTTCGTATAGAGAGAACCATGTTCTCCCTTTCGTTCATCTAAGCTTATATTCTTCGATCGCGTGGAAAGAAGTGCTTGCGAGACGATACGGTTACATGGACATAAAAAAGAAACAAAAAAGAAAGAAAAGAAAAAGAAAATATATATATATATATATATATTATGGAAACATTCTGGAGGAAAAAAGCTTTCAACCGCATTCACGTATAAATTCGAAATAAATTTTTTCAAAGGTATAGAAAAAGAAGCGCATCGAATAATTTATTTTTTCTAAAGACAAAATGACACAGCAGTAACTTATCACAGTAGTAACTCATTTCTTGCTGCAATAACGATTTAATCGAGATTTGCAAAGCACATTCTCTGTTCCACATAACATCACGCTCTAACGACAAACCGTGAAATTGGATTTAGTAGTAGTGTCTATTAACACACATAATGCGAAGTTTACCACAAACATTTATCTTCATTACTTGCAATGGTTTGTTATAATTGAGGAAAATCAGATTAATCTTATTCCATAAATCGATCATGAATTATAATCTTTATAAAGAGACCTTAATACGTCAGACGAATACTTACTGTTATTAATCGAGATTCTCGCGATTAATTCGATCTTATATTAAATGTATTTATAAAGGAAGAAATATTAAAAAGTATAACCTACTTATCGACATACTCGAATGATCCAGTTAATTTGTCATTGTCTGTCTATAAGTATTTCTCACTTCGAAATAATTAAAGAGATTTGTCGTAACTCCGAAGAATTTAGTATTTGTTATATATATATGTCTATATATATATATATATATATATATATATATGTATGTATATATTCTATTATACGTACTATATTGTAAGATCATTAACACCAGTCTCTCATTAACTCACTGCGCTTGTTCATACTTTCACCCTACGGGATTCATTTGAATAAATTGGCAGAACCACGTAGAGAAATGTTCTCCGAGCTTTAATTAAGGCAATAATTTATTATCAAGGTAATAAGGTCAATCTCGAGGAACAAGATACGAATTAGATTGACTACGACTTTTCGATCATTTCTAAAAATCTTCGACGAACGTATAAATTTGCGAATATAAAAAGTATTTTGTCAACCATTTCGTGAATTTTGTTGATCATTATCGACTAAGATACGCTTAAATTTTAAATCTCATTAAATAACAAGCTCTAATGTTAATTGTATCTCGAGCATGACTTAAAAAAAAAAAAAAAGAAAGAAAAAAAGAAAAAAAAGAAAAAAAAGAAAGAAAGAAATAAAAAAAATAAAATTAAAATAAAGAAATAAATAAAGAAATGAAAATAAAAATGAATAAGAAATAATATGATGATTATAAAAAGTAATGTAAAAATCATTTAATTCATAGGAAATCTTTCAAGCAGAAGCTATTTAAAATACGAAAATAAATATCCTCGATTAAGGAACTAAAAAAACATTGTCTTGAATCTTTTTTTTATATCGCCTTCTAACTACAGTGTAATAACGAGACCATTTTGAAGCCGGAAAATTACCTTCACAAATAATTTAGAATAAACTGCAGCATTATGAATAGATCTCTTTTCGAGGTACTTTTGAAGGTACCAAATTAATGCTGTTGAATCTATTTAATATTTGACGAATTCACAAAAAGCTTCCTGCAAGTGAAAATGTGTGGAAAAAGCGAGGGAATATGATATCCACGCATATTACTTTCAGTCTCGTTTAACGACAAAGGAAATATCTACAATGAAATAAATTAATTTAAAATAATAAAATATTTTAAATTAACTGCCCTTCTCAATTAATTTTTATTATGTTCAATATTAAATTAGTAACGGATCGAATTGTATCGACGTACTAAAAAAAACCACGATTCGTGTAACAGCAAATGCATTCATGAGGAACAATGGAGAAAGAATGAAAAAGAAAAAAAAAAAGAAAAAAAGGGAAAAAAAGAGAAAAGGAAAAAAGAAAGAAAATAAGAGGGAAAGAAGGAAACGCGACGAGGTGGAGAAGGTGAGGAGGAGAAAGAAGAGGAGAAGGAGGAAGAGGGTAAGTCAGAGCACAGTGAAAACGAGGAGAAAGGCCAACGGTTGGAACGAGAGTGATTCGCAAGAGTGTGAGATCGCGTGACCTCGTTTAACCTCGCGCATCCGAGCGAAAACTAGGCAGGCAAGCAGGCATGCATGCAGGCAGGCAGGCAGGCAGGCAGGCGGGTATGCAGGCAGGTAGGCAGGTAGGCAAGCAGGCTGGCTTACTCGAGTGGGAAAAAGGGGTGTTGGGGATGAGGTCCTCCTTATTTTAATATATGAATATGCAGCGAACGTAGTTGGAAAGAACACTGCTGGTAAGAAAGAGACGTCAATAGACGAAGCTTGAAATTTTGAGATCACGACTTTACATGATGACTTTCTCAAAATATATATTAATAATAATAATGAAGATGATGATGATGATCATAATGATGATGATGATGACGATGATGATGATGATGATAATGATGACGATGATGATGATGATGATGATAATGATGATAAATAAATAAGAAGCATATTACTTCAAGGGAACAAAAACATGGATTTTCTTTTTCATTTCTTATTTTTCTTTTTTTTTTTTTCAGTCCTTCCAAAAGCTTGTACCAACAATATCCCCAAAGACGTATTCGTGGACGAGTTAACGACCGTATTAAACATGACGGTAGAGGGTTCTACGTGGAATTCAGAAGAGTACAAAGGGCCATTCTTGAATCGTGATTTGTCAGTTGAATCTTCTTCAAGCTTGAGCCATGAGTAACAACGTAACAAGGCAGACACCACAACGCTATGTCACCTTTCCCTAACCATTCGAGAAAACGAGCCAGTTATAACAAAACATGGCCGTTCAATATCCTCATACGATCATTGTAAGGATACAAAAAGATAGATAGATAAAGAGAGATAGAGAGAAACAGAGAGAATGAAAGAAAGAAAGAAATATAGAAAGAAAAAAAGATAACAGGGCAAAGTGGAAAGAAAATATGAAATACGTTTTAAGGAGAACAATGAAAAAGAACGCGA